TTCCTGCTGCAGCGGAACCTAAGGAGCCCAGATGGGTGGCCTGGTGATGGCCCATGGGACTGGAAGGGAGGGGACTGATGCTCTTGTCCCGTGGCGCAGCCTTGGCTGCTCCCAGCATGTCCAGGCTTGATGCTGACAGCAGCTGCTGTGGGTCATGGGATTTATTTTTAACGAGCTCCATGGGAAATCGCCTCCCGGGTTCCCAGCGCCAGGTCTGTCCTGATGTCCCACAGCAGGACAGTGGGAGGACACTGGGGCCATGCCTGCCCTTGCTGGCCTTTCCCTGTGGATCCGTCTACCTTCTGTCACCCTTCAGTGTGGGGGGAGCCTGTGCATGGCCCCCTCAAAGCACTTGGGCTGGTGGCAGGGCTGGAGTTGCGGACTTGATCTGGAGGAGAGGAAGCAGCTCTGGGTGGCCGTGCTAGGTCTTGGCGGGTGGCCTTGGGTGGGCTGAGGAGCATCTGTGAGATGTGCATGGCCAGGGTTGTGGGGAGGTCATGGCCATGCTTCCCACATACAGAGAGCTGGACTTTGATTTAGAACAGATACCAGTCACGAATTTGGTTCTGAGAGCTGCCTGCCATCCCCTAGCACTGGGTCAGGGAGGGGAGGGCTGTGGAGGGGCCCGAGGGGACCCCTTCTTGGTGGGGTGCTGGGACTCTCCTAACCAGCACTTCCTGGGGGCCATGGGGATTAGAGAGGAACAGCCTCTGCAGTCCCTGCCGGCTGCTGCAGGGGCTGGCGGGGGGGCAAGGGCTCATCTCTGTGCTGGTGGTGTAGAGGGGCAGGGCTGCAGGAAACTTTGGACTTGATGATCTTAGAGGTCTTTTCCAACCTTAACGATTTTATGATTCTATGAACTGACCCTTGGGGGCTGCACGGACCACTGATGGGCATTCATGCCATGCGCATCTGTCTCCTTGCCCCTCATGTGCCTGGAGGTCTTGGTGCCACCATAGCAGCCCCTCCTTGTCATGGCTGCTCCCAGCAACCTGCCCCTG